CAGCTTGGCAATTCCCCTCCCCCCCCCCACAGGCCCAGGAGGCACCAATCGCCAAGTTATGAAGGGTGGTATCCCCCTCACACTCCATGGCAGTGTGCCACCAAGTGCACGTGGGACCCCCCTCCCACATGTTCCCATGGGATGCTCCATCTGCCCCACCAGTTTTTTTTTCCCGATATTGTTTCATTTATCTTTAATCTCTATTATTAAGCTCATACTGCTATTTGTGCAATCCCAAAGGATATGCTGTGAAGGTACAGCAGTTCTTATGGTTTGGTATTTTTATCTTCACTATTAATAGTTTGCTCTCTGTTCCTCAGCAGTCTCTAAGAAGATAGTTCAAAAACTCCGTTGCAACTGCCCTGTGCTAAACCCATCATGTCTTTTAGATGAAGTTGGATTGAAGCTGGAAGAGTACTTGCATGAGAAACTTTATACACCATCAGGTTACATATGTAATGCAGTAGGTGCCAGTCTTTCCTGATTCAGTGTTTGACTAACATCTATCTATCTATCTATCTATCTACAGAGAGAGACAGAAAGAGAGACTTAGTCTGTCTGTGTGTCTCTGTCTGTAACACTCTTTAAGGGCACCAGGAGCCCAGCATGGTGGGGAGGACAGAGGAATGGGCCAGCTGAGGAAAAGCAGGAGCCAGGTTCCTAGCTACTGTAAGGCTACTGTGAGAAGACAGTTGGCTGGTTACTGTGAGGCTGCTGTGAACATTGGTGTTATTTGAAATTCATCCATCTTTCTTGACGGGCAATTCACTAGTCCAATATATTGAAGGACACTGTACTGTATTGTATGGGAACAAGGTTTTGATCACTTCTGGTCTTCCCTAGAATTTACTGCACGTTCTTTTAAAATTAGTGCATTTTATCCTAGTGCTTGGCCAAACTCCCATTTTTAGTTATTTGATTCCACCCACTTTTTTGTTCCTGCAATTCTAATTGTTGAAGTGGTGTCTTTTATTTTCCCCTTTTATCTCCAATGTAACACATTAATTTAAAATAAAGAGGTTTCTGTAATGGATTTCTATGGTATAATCTCTATATAATTACTTAGCACTAAGATGACTAAGGCCACTGGCATGATGAGATCTGATGGCCTCAGTGATGAGGACAATCAATTCAAGCATGATCTCTATCATGGCTTATTGATAGGTCTTAAGGTAACCAAAAAATCCAAACCTTGAACAACAGATCCATCTGCAGAAGTTGCAGAACTTTCTACAAAGGAAAATAGGCCAGAGGATGGCATTTCTCTCCTTTTCTTTTCTCTGCTGTCTCTTCTCTACTTCAAGGGCAGGGTGCTTTACCTTAAAGTGGGCTGCTGCTTGACTGAGGTTGTGGCTTTACTGGAGTTAGTTACCAGCCAGTTCCTCCTGGCTCTTGATGTAGGCATTTGTTTTCTTGAGGTATGCCTTCAATGTGCACTTTTAGCATTTTGTCTGTCCACTGTGAGGTCTCAGATCACAACTAAACCAGGAATAGAGCACCTGTTTTGGGTGTCGAGAGTCAGCCATTCAATGTCCAGTCCAGTGATGTTGTTACTGCTGCGGTGCTAGTAACACTGGCTTCAGCAAAGATGCAGTTGCTTGTGTGGTGATCTTCCCATTTGATGCAGAGGATTTTCCAGTGGCATCATTAGAGATACCTCTTCAGGCTCCTTTCTTGAAAATAGTCACAATGTAAGTGTTCCTCAGGTCCCCAGGGATCTCCTCATTGTTGGAATCTACTGGCACATGTGCATGGCAGGAAGCATAATTTTGCAATTGGGGGATCAGATACTAATCATGCCATTATGACTTGCCAGTGGAATCATAATCCTGGGCTCCCTTTGCATTGGCAAATTGTCTGCGAGCACCACGTAGCTGAATGTTGACTCAGGCTCTGGGTTTCAAACTAGTTCTGGTGCACTCCCAGGGGCAAGAATCAGCTGAATTTTATCTCTGGCCCCAGGACCACATGGGGGACTCAGTCCACCCCTGGTGTGGGCTGGGGTTGGGGCTGTCAATCAGCTGATTATTGAGGCCAAGGCCAACAATCAGCTGATTGAAAGGCCCAGACTGCACCAGGACCTATTTGAGAACCCAGGCAGTCCCAGGCTGGAGCTGACAATCCAGTTGATTATTGGTCTTGGCCCAACCAATCCTGGATCTGGCTCAACTGTGGCTGTCTGGGAAGAAAATTGGGGCTAAACAGCACTGGGTCTTGAGCTATCTCAGCAAGGGCTGACAATCAGCTGACAATGCTCAGAAACTCAGATTTGCCTGCAGGCAGGGGGGTTCAGAGGCTCCTACATGGTAGCTGAAGGGCTCTCCCCATGGAGACTTCAAAACTTGCACCCAGCAGCCTGGACAGAGCTGACCAGCATAGGGTTTAATGTCCCTGGTGGGATCAAGCCCTCACAAGAGCCTCTGATCCACTATGGCTGGCAGTCCAGTGTCTGAAGTCCCTACCAGGGAAACCCTATGGCATCCCCTATCTCAGGATGGGGGCAATAATCATCTAATTGTCTTTCCTGAACAATTTATGATGAGATTAACATGTTAACTGTAGCATAAATATAATTTGCAGAGGAATCCTAAGAGGTACTGCGGCATGGTTTTTGTGGCTCAGTGAAAGACTATCTCTATTATGATGCATTCAATCTGTTATATATAATTTCAAAATCTAATGTCATTTAGTCAGTATTGGGTCAGATTCTGCCACCATTATGACAATAGTACTTTATTTGAGAAGCAGTGGCCACGTCTACAGGTGTATTTAAGTGTGACTAAATTTAATATTCACTAAGCTCATGCACATTAAGCAATTTTGGGGAGGTGTCTACACGTGCAGGTACTTGGGTGCCAAATACCTGCAACCCTGCCCTGTGTCCCTAGTGGCTGGGAAGACCCAGCACTAAAGTTAGTACTGGATCATGTCTACATATACATGGGTTATTTTACTTCCAGAGTAGCCATTTAAGGAATTCTTCATATTCCTTAAATCTCTTCACCCTTATTTGTCCAAACAAGCAATATGGCATGGAAATCCCTTTGCTGACCATCAGCAGCACTTTAGACCATTGTGAAATGGAAGGCAGTCTATCCCCCACAAGGGCTGAACATACTGTCTTCACTGCTTTCCAAAATGCAGCCAACCTAAGCAATACTTGGAGTGACCAGTAATTAAGTTACCAAATAGTTTCCCACATATTACTACACAGAACACGCTGCAGTACTTCCAGGCTAGATTCCTTAAAATGCATTTCTGTGCCACAAATGCATTTCTAATGTGAAATCAGCACATATTATTTTGAGAAACAGAAATATTATATGTTAGCAAACATGTTTGTATTTAGATAGCAAGCACTCAACCTAAATTTATTGTAACAAATGAAGGTGGATTATAAGATAGTTATGATTACACTACTTAGGATTGAATGAAATGTTTGTCCCAACCTGAAAGCCCGCAGAGTTGGATGGGTAAAAAATTGGCTGATGGGGTGTACCCAGAGAGTAGTGGTGGATGGGTTGTAACTGGTGAGATGTGAGCAGTAGGGACCCTAGGGCTCGGTCCTCGGGCCCGCACTGTTTAACATCTTCATCAGTGACTTCGATGAGGGGGTGGAAAACACGCAGTCCAAATTTGCTGATGACACTAAGATGTGGGGCAAGGTGGACACACTTGAAGGAAGAGAGAGGCTGCAACTAGATTTAGACAGACTACAAAAGTGGGCAGATGAGAATAGGATGGGGTTCAATGTAGATAAATGCAGGGTGCTGCACCTTGGGTGAAGGAATCCACGGCATACATACAGGTTGGGGAGTTCCCTTCTTGAAAGCACAGAGGCGGAAAGGGATCTTGGAGTCATTATTGACTCCAAGATGAACATTAGCCGCCAATGCCAGACCACAGCCAGCAAAGCCAACTACACCATGTTGTGCATTCAAAGATGCATCTCAACCCGGTCCAGAGAGGGGATA